GGTGAGGCCTTCTATACCCACGTTGTTTTGTAGACTCTTAGCCAGAGGGAGCTCTGGACTCCCGCTTACAACTCCGAGCTTGAGAAGGAGATCGGAGGCTTTTCCTTATAAGCATGTTTATGATTATGGAGAGCAAATTTCTAGTGAACTGGGTTAGATACACCTAGGATGCGATTGGGAGTAGTCAGCGAGGATTTATGAAGGGCAGATCATGCTCAACCAGCCTTCTGCAATGAGGTGACTGCCTTGGTGGGTCAGGGGAGAGCACTGTCTTCACTTGAGTAAGGTTTTTGATGCTGCATCTGCAACATCCTTGTCGACGTGCTGACAAGGATTGCCTTGGATAAAGAGACAAAGATATAGATTGAAAACTGCCTGAACGGCCGGGCCAGAGGGTTGTGATCAGCGGTGCGAAGCGCAGTTGGAGGCAGGTCACTAGTGGAGTACCCCAGGGTCGGTACTGGGGCCAGTACTTCCTGACCTTCGTTAATGCCCGGGACAATAAGACCGAGTGCACCCTCAGCAAGTTTGCAGATGGTACAAAACGGGGAGGACTGGGTGATCAGATGGTTGTGCTGCTGCTCAGAGGGGCCTGGACAGGATGGAGAACTGGGCAGAGAGGAACCTCGTGAAGTTCAGTAAAGGAAAACGCAGATTCCTGCGCATGGGGAGGATTAACCTCGGGCACCAGTAAGTGCCGGAGGCTGACCAGCAGGAAAGCAGCTCTGCAGAGAAGGACCTTGAGGTTCTGGTGGACGACAAGCTGACCATGAGAGAGCAGTGCACCCTCGTGGCAAAAACTGCCCAACAGCGTCCTGGGCTGCATGAGGAGGAGTGTTGCCAGCAGGTCAAAAGAGATGATCCTTCTCTGCTCAGCACTGGTGTGGTCACATCTGAAGTACTGTGTCCAGTGTTGGGCTCCCCAGTACGAAAGAGGCGGGGACGTACTGGAGCATCTTTCCTGTGAGATGATGCTGAGAGAGCTGGGACAGTTCAGCCTGGACGAGAGAAGGTTCGGGGGGATCTTACCGATGTGTGTAGACACCAGATGGGAGGGAATGAAGAGGATGGAGCCAGGCTCTTCTAAGTCGTGCTCAGTGGCAGGACAGGAGGGCACAAATTAAACCACGTGAAGTTTCATCTAAACCCAAGAGAACTTTTTCACTGGGGGGCGGGTGGGGTCGAGCACTGGAATGAGTAGCCTAGAGACATTTTGGTTCCCATCTATGGACGTACTCAAAACCAGGCTGGACACAGTGCTGGGCGACCTGCTCCACCTGACCCGGCTTGAGCAGGAGCACTGGACTAGAGGAACTCAAGGGGGTCCTTTCCAACCTCAGTGATTCTTTGAAAATTTCTCCTCTTGAAAAAACAGAATTTTGGTTTCACCGTCGATGAATCCCTTATCGATTCTGGGTTTAGAGCGTAATGAGATTCCCAGGGTGGGGAGATTGTATTTATTACTTGGTAGGTTGTTGCACTTGCAGATGATCTGGAAGTCAAACTGTTTCTGTTAAACGCTTGCCAGAAGGCCTGGTGGTATGTGTTCACCCCAGAATTGCTTGCTTTTTTTTTTTCCATGGAATTTGCGGACAGAAAAAGTAGGGGCCCCTCTTCAGTAGCTTGCTTTCCTTAGTATTATCATATCATTAAGATACTCTTTCCTCTTCTCTCTGATCTGGTAATACTGGTCTCTGGGATACACTGTGTTCCCAATCTCTTCGTTTTTACAAAGAGATCAGTATTAAGGCAACTTCCTTTTATGAATCACAGGATTCCGTTCATTTATCACTTGGCTGGTTTGATTTCAGATGCAATCGTAGATATGGTGATATACATAAAAAAAACAAACCAAAACCTGCTGAAGTTACCACTTAAAAATCAGATTTTAGGCTTTTAGATGACAGTTTTCTCTGTGTTTAAATATCTAATACCGTGCTGTGTTCATTAAGTTTAGGGGTTTTCTCTTTTCCTTCTTGAATACCATTGTCCAGCCTCAAACATGTTGACTCATTTCATGTTTAATTTGTAAAGAAAACATTCTGGAGACTATAGTTCATAAAAACTTTGGGATTTGGAGGCTGCACCATTTTGACAAAACAAGGAGGAGGAGAAGAAAAAACAAATCCTGGCTTGGGAATAACCTTTCCGTTCAAGATTTGCCGAAAGTTGCACAGGAATACTTTTTGTAGAGCAAGCAGTTCCCACCGGGTATTGAACAAGCAACTCTTCTCTCAAAAGAAAATAAACCCAACAGCAACGAAAACCCCCAAAACCCAGAGCTGCAGCCTCGGGGGAGGAGAAAACTGTCAGCAAATCATGAGGCTCTTCTGGGATGTCTTGACAGACAGTGCGATGCGATGGCTCTACGTGCGTTGAGTTGGAGGGAGGGAGGTTTGGAGACCGCGTTCTCCCCAGTGCACGTAGTTCAAGGTGCAACAGAATTCTGGAATCAAAACATTCTTAGTTGTGACAGAAAATTACGTTATTTGAAGAAGTGCTACAGGAGATACGAAACCCCGGCTTGAATTAGTCACGCTTTTGGTGGAACTGAGTAGAGCAGCACAACTTCTGGATGCTGAATCTTTCCTGCTTTCCCTTGCTGGATAAGGAAGTTTATGGTGATGCTGTAATGTTAAATGAATTATTTATAGTGGTTTAAAATACCTGGTGAGAGCAGCCTTCCGTTGGCTGCAGAGCAGGCAGCATTCCGGCCTGTACCTCATACTGAGAATTCTTCATTGGAAAGAGTTCTCGTTGTGTAGTCGTAATTCAGGGCTTCCTCGTAATGGAAAAATGTTTGATTTGTGGATGAAGATAAATAAGGAACTGATGGAATTAGGATTTGACAGCCTGGTTTCCTATGAATAAATGGGACTAGTGATCAGATTCTTCTTCTTATTATTAGTTCATCCATCTTCCTCTTTCTTCTCTTCCACCACTAGTTTGGTCTGAACCACCGGCTAATTTCTGGCTGTCTGCTAAAGAATAAAGTTACAAATAGTGGTTGCCCGTAAGCTTTATGAAATGAAGCAGGTGGAAGGGAAAAGCCTCTGGATTAACACAGGGCGGTTTATGGCTCCGTTTCTGCCTCCTGCTTGGCAGCAGCCAGCCTGCGCGTGGGTCACCCTGGACCAGGCTCAGTGGGGGTGTCGGGAGGCTTTGTTCGGTAATTGGTGTGGTGGGGATCTGGAGCCACGCTGTTTTTTTTCTGGAAGCTTTTAGGTAATGGTGATTTTTCACTTAAGGAGCAATGTTTTAAGTGCCCCTTTACATGCTGTTTTGCATCGCTGTAAAGGTTAATCTTC